CCTCAGACCATATTGGCAACCTCCAAATTCACCAAATTCATCAAATAGTTCAACATTTATAGTAAACAGTTGGTAGAATTACCTGTACTAAGAAAGCTCTTTATCTGGCAACTCAGCCTAAAATGGGAATAATAGAAAACAGGTTTAACGGTAACGAAGATACCCTTCTAAAATTACATTCTAAATATTCACTGAATTAAAATCCATTTTTCCTCATTGTGTAGAGTCTAAAAGGTGTAAATAACGAACCAGTGTGATCTGTACCTACAAGAGCAGTTGAGAAAGGATATGTGGAGAACACAAGGCTTAGCTTAGTCTGGAAGTGATGACGAGGCCCTAAAGAAATCAGGAAGAAAGTAATTGCAGCAGTTTCTTCTGTTTGCTTTTTGGGCTGACCTATTTCCGAAGGCTCTGAGAATAAAGTTATTACAGAGTGAGTCATATGGAAAACACATGCACACTGAGGGTATTGAGAACATGTTACGTGTTATTCTTTCATTGGTATTGCAAGGATAGATATAAAAATTGGATAGTATAATGTGGCTCCAAAAGGTTAACTTGTAAAAAATGTACATGCCTATGTCTTTCATTTTAACTGATAAATAAAAACACAAACATGATACATTTCAATGAGTACTATTGATGTTTCAATATATGCATGTATACACTGTGTAACCAGGTTAAACAAACACGTCTATCCGCTCCCTCAAATGTTTATCTCTTCTTTATAATGAAAATATTCAAAATCCTTTAAGTTTTTTTTGAGATACACAATATATAATCACTATTTATAGTTGCCCTGCTAGGCAATAGGACACCAGAATTTCTTATTCCTATGTAGCTGTAATTTAGTACCCATTTATCAACTTTATATATCTTTCAGTAACAATCATAGCAGTTTTTTTGAAAATCCAAAAATTAACCAAACTCTGATTTTTTTGAAACTAATTTTTTTTTGATGCTGAGAAATGATCCCAGAGTCTCCCACATGCGAAATACGTCCTGTATCCCTGAGCCACACGTCCCACCCCCAAACCAATTCTTTCATTTGGAGAACCAACACAACAACGTCAATTGACATAAGGTATACAAGCACATATACGAAAGGCAAATTTGGCATCATAAACTGCAGAAGAAATATTTTGCTTTTCCAAGAAATAAATTCAACTCTAGGCATAAAAAGTGGAGGGTTTGGAAAGTTACTTATTACCCTTAGACAGATGAGCAATGTCTAAGCACAATGGCACCTTCCTTTTGAGGTTATTTGTTTAACAGTGAAAGGTGTTTTCTATTGTGGATTCAAAGTATTAAAATTTATGATTTAGGCTTGTTAAAGAAAACTTCCCAAGCTTCGAAGTATTATGTTACATGACATAGTATCTCGTATGTTATATTTACCAAGACGAGTTGATAGCTAAGGTTCTTATTTCCATATTAGATTGGTGCTTCTTTACAACTGTCTTGTAAAACACCTGCTATTTCAGGTGCAGAGGGCAAATAGTGACAGAAAATTCGAGTCATGATCACAGGACAATCAGTTTATATTGAGCAAGAAAATAATGACATAGTAGCTTCTAAAGGAGCAAGGTTAAGAAAATTTCAAAAAATGTCATAGAACTGAGGTTAAAGAAAAGCTATCGCATGAGGCAGTGAGGTTTTTCAGAAAGTCATTTCCACAGCTGAGGAGGAGTGACAGCTCTGGACACACTGCTGCTTATTCAGGGCTCCACCCTAAGGAGTGTATTTGTCCTGTAACCTTACTGACTGCAGGGCAGATGCAAGTTGCTAAGGACACGTTGCCTTAACGTGTGAAATCTCTCATTCCTATATGGCTAAAGTTGTTAAGAGACCAAGATATTTTTTTTCAAGGAATTCTGTTTCCAGCCTATAGGAACTCACTAGAGTGTATCATTTTAATGAGGAATTCTAAGTATTGACTGAGATTTGTTTTAAACTCCAAAGGAATATTGTTAATGTCTCCCTGATAAATGTTCATCTTCAAAAATATTTGAGTTTATGGAGAAATCATTTATCACATTAGATGTACTACATTTTAATTTTTGTTTTTGTTTTTTTGGAGATAGGGTCTTGCTATGTAGTTCAGGCTGGACTTAAACTCACCCTGCAGCCCGAGCTGGCCTCAAACTCATGGCAGTCCTCCTGCCTCAGCCTCCCAAGTGTTGCAGTTGCAAGCATGCACTCCACATCTGGCTTAACTTACTTGCTATCCACCACCAACTTGAGCATTCTAGTGGATAAGAATCTCTACCTCTTCTGAATGCATAGTAACACCTGGTATCTATTCCATTCACCTGTGCCTTACTACACACTATTCTCCCATGAAAGGTGAAGTTTTAAAATTTTTCTGTCACAACTCTTCAAAGAGATTGAAGGCAAGGGCAGTGTCATAAATTTCTATGCGCTTTCTATATAATATGTCTTATCACCCACAATGACAGTTACTTCTGTTTATGTCTAGCTACCTCAATAACTGACCATATCTTTCTCATCTTTATATTTTTAATGTCTGGTATAATACTTGCCACATAAATATAGCTGTTGAGTATTTGAAGAAATGAGTAAATGAATGAATAAATAAAACTCTAGAGTTAAGTATTCAGGCTACTCAATAATCGCTAGTCATTATTTTTAGTCTCCAGATTTTATTCAACAATAGAAAATAACCTACTTAGAAACATGCCTGAATAAAAACCTTTAACATTATGATGACACAGATGCTTAAAGCACAAAGGGATAACATCTTTTTAATGATGGCCTTTGCTAGGGTCATTGGTACCAAGCTTAGTTTTACTTACCAAACATTATGTACTAAATTATCAAATCCTACTCAGAGAAATCATACTTGGGTATTAGCAAAAATATGTACCTACTATTAATGTGTTTTCACAATATTAAGCAAAGCCCAAGGACTCCTCCCCCACCTATCTCAAAGCTAGTATAGATACTCGTACCATCAACAAAATCCTATTTGCTTCCCATCAAAATAGATATGCCACAGATGCCACGGCCACCAAAATATATGTAGGTCTAGAATTACTTCCTCCTCCCTGTACCTTAGCTGCTATGATAAATAACCAGGTTTTTACTCATGTGAGACTTGCTGCAGGAGTACAGTAACTATACCATGATAATGAATTATGGTAAATCAGAGATGTTTTTAATTATCAAATATTATGCCCAAGTTGTGCACCCCATTCATATGTGGAAATCCTAATCCCTAATACTTCAGTATGTGACTGTGATCAGAGATAGTGTTTTAAAGAATTAAGTTAAAATAGGTTCTTAGGTTGGGTCATAATCCCAAATGAGTAGCAGTCTCATAAGTAAAGGAACTTAGGACAAAGGAACAGAGGAAAGACAGCGTCTGCAACCTAGAGAGGCCACAGGAAAAGCTAATTCTGCCACCACACTGATCTTGGTCTTCCAATCTCCAGAAATGTGAGAATATGCATTTCTGTTGTTGTGCCTTGCAGCCGGTGGTATTTTGTGATGGCAATCTTAACACACCAACACACTATTCAGGAGTCAAGACAGCCATGTATGTTCCTCCCGTTTTACAGACAGGAAAACTAAAGTTCCAGAGGTGTTAACTGACAACTCTGACATCATCCCGTAAACAGAAAGCAGGATGCTGCCTGGACTCTTCTAACCCCAAATGCCATCCCATTTTCCCTCTCCAAAAAATGTGGACTAGAAGACCCCTGGGCTATGGCCACATATGTGTCCTAAACTTGTGGAATCTTGAGAAAGACATTACGTTTTTGATATCTCCATTCTTTATTTGCCAATGAAGAGGTTGAATTAAATATTCTAAGGCTAAATAGACTAAGGGTGTACGTAGGAGTCTATCTAGTTTTAAGGATTTAGCTCAAATCATTGCTTTTAGTCCAACTCTTAAAGAAATTATCACTGCAAACTCTTTCAGAATTGAAAGAAAATTCAGGAGAGAATCACTATCCCACAGAATTCAAGCCTACATTTAAAAATGCACATAATTGAAAAGGTTTTGAAATATTATGATCTTAACTCATTTTAACAATTATTTGTATAGGGCTTGCATCCCATTTTTAACAAATTGTCCATTCTAAGCTTTTAAGGATTGAATATGACTTCATGGACAAAACACACGATCAATATTTTCTATCAGAAAATTTGAGTTCTAGTCTTAAAATCCCCAGTGAGCAACTGATTAACCTTGAGTGAAAAAAAAAATAAAGTTTCACTCATTAGTTTCTGAGGAACTAATGAGGAAATAGAAAGTTGCTTCCTATGTGTCTAGCAGAAAAGTTTAAGAAAATACCTATGTCAAAGTTTTTAACTCTTCGGAGGGAAGTTGTTGCATATACTCATCAGGAAGGCAATTAGAAGCTCATAGTGTCAAGCTGTGTTTTTTCAATAACTTCCTCAGTTTTGAAAGATTCTGTGGATACTCGATTTATAATTTTCATACCTGTAGTTAATGTGCCTTCTTTCCCAGAGGAAGGAAGTGTAACATGGAAATTAATTTGCATGGTAGTAGAGTCTGGCCGGTTATATGACTATAAGGGTTAGAATTCTGAAGCCATTGAATATGGCTTCATGAACAAAACACAAGATCAATATTTTCTATCAGAAAATTTGACTTCCAGTCTTAAAATCCTCAGTGAGCAATTGAATAATCTTGAGTGAAAAAAAAAAAATCTCTTGTGTGTTCTTTTGTGTGTGTTCATCCAATCATGTTAAGACAAATCAGCCTTCAGGCAAATCAGACGTCTTCATTTAAAGCTTACCTGGATTTGGCACCTTGCCTGTTTTCCCAAACCTCTGTACAATATACTTTAGCAAACAGTGAGAGACCTGCACACAGAAAAGCATTACCCTTTGCAACGTTAGTTTGAAAAAACAAGGAACTCTTTAACCCAGAGAAGACAATTGCTTGGGAAAAGGGAAATTTGCTTCCGAGTTAGCAGCACATGAATACAGGATTAGTGGGTGGGATTGAGGTGAGCCCTGGTGTATAAATAGAGAGGCTCCGTGCTTCCGCACACTCGGAATCTTGGACGGCTCCCTGGTTGCTCTCACAGGCAGGTGGGTGGGGAATCCAGGTAAGGCTCTTAACTACACCTCTCAAATGGCTCTTGCTAGAGTGAGCTTTGGTCTCTGATTGCCATGTAAAGCTCCAGGGCACCAACAACAGACAGAAATGCAAGTTTCCCAGGGTGATAAAGTCATACAGCGGGACTTGGGGCGGGGACAGTGGAATTTCTCCAAAAGCTTCCTGGGACCTCCTTTGGCTGGAGCTGGCAGAACATTACATTCCTGAGCAGGTTCAAAGTGATCCCTTCCCCTTTAGGAAACCAGAGGTGTGAAGCTGGGCCAACTGCTTAGTTTTCAGCTTGGGACAGGGCCCAGGAAACTTGGCCACCTTCTACTGTTCTGCTTCTCTCCCAGTGGCTAACTAAAGCAAAAGCCAGCGGGCTTCTCAACTTTGAGAACACAGCTCAGGTGCTCCCTGAGAATATATATTGTAAATCAGGAGACAGTTTTCTTTCTCTCTGGGGTGTAAAGAATGCGTGTTGCTTCCATCTTCTAATTCGTGGGCTATGCTTCCAGAGGAGAGAGCTGCATGCTTTCCGGCAGTACAAAGAAACAGTGAAACTGAGCCCTACCGCGGATTCACTCCTTGTTAAGAGAGGGATAGAATGACTGTGAAAAGCGCTAGTTTCACAGTGTCCGTGTATGTGTGTGTGTGCGTGTGTTTCTCTAAAATATTAATATCTTCCAATGTTAGATAGTGTTTTGACAAGATTATGCAGCAAGTTTGCCGAGCAGAATCTCTTCATATTATGAAAGAGCAGGATGTTTGTACAGCGGGAGTTATATTAGTCTTCCTTGAGTCATTGGACCATAAAACACATGTAATATATCAATAGTTCCAACCTGTAATCCATGGAGCTATTGCAAGGAGTTTTAATAGCTATTTGTACAACAAGAATGGTTAATGGACTGAATAAAATCACTTTACCACCAATTTCCTATTATGTTGTCGTATAAACATAGATATTATTAAATCAAATACTATATTACTTGTTTGTTGATCAAATCAAAGTAATCTGTGAAATATTTTTGAACCCATGAATGTTCCAATAGTATAATTCTCATGTTAAAGATCCTTTTTTATTTATTTTTTTAATAGACATGAGAAAGATTTATTAGAGGTAGATGTAGGACACACTCAAGAGCAGTGTGAAATGAGGCACAGTCTGGTTGGGGAAAGGGGGATCTTATATGTATTTTGGGTGATGAGAGTCTGTGGAATTTAATAATCTGTAGTCTTAGTCTTGTCTAGTGGTTAGGAGAGGATGGCCCACCTATAGTAACATAATGGTCTATTCGCATGAAAGAGGTTGCTGATAAAAAGTAAATAGGCAGATCTACTTGTCTTTTGTGTTTTGTTTGGTTTTTTTTGAGACAGGGTTTCACTATGCAGTTTAGGCTGGCCTTGAGCTCATTTTGTAGCCCAGACTGGTCTCAAACTCACTATGCTCCTCTTGTCTCAGCCTCCCAAGTACTGGGATTACAGGCGTGCAGTACCACGTCCTGCCTCAGATCTACTTGTTACTGAAAAGGAGTTACTAAGACTTCTCACATTAAAGTTCTTGATTTTAATATTAAAAAATACCGAGAGGGCTGGGTATCACTGACTTGTAGATATGTGAGTTGTTCTTGCAGAAATTTAAAAACCTGTTCCTGGCATTTCTACATCTTAAGATTGTAGAAAATGAAGGAACTATACTCCTTTGTTTTGCTTATGTCTTTTCTGGGTAAGACACTTTGTGCCTACAGACTAAGTCTTGGATAACGATTGGTCAGTTTAAAGTAAGGCTTCACTTGGATTTGGTAACTTAGCAATGTTTTTCTTTTTTTAATCATCTAAGACTTTGCAAAGGTTCCCATTCAAACTATCAGGTCACTGGAAACTTCACTCTTACAAATATTAAGCAATGATTGTTCATCCTACTTCCTTTGCAGAATTCATCAGAGTTCATCGAAACCCTACATGTATATTAGAATTAGATGCTATAGTTTCATCTTTCTTTCTAAGCAAGTTGACTGTTCAGCTTTACCAGAACCCCAAGTCTCCACCTTGTCATGTTACGGCCCCTGGAAAACCGTAGTGACTTCTTATGCAACTTGCTTTCCTGGCTCTCTCCCTCCCACCTCACTCATAGAATTTCACATTCCTGTTTGTACTCATCCCTTCAGCTTTTCGTAGTAATTAACTGTGGAACAACAAAAGGGAAAAAATGAATTTAATAAAGAGATACCCCTAGGGCTTCTTTTTCTGTGCTACGAATCTCACAGAATACTTTTGTGCACTAAAATGCATACCTATTGCTGCCTACCTAGAAAACGTCCACAGAGAATCAAAGAATCTCTCTAGAAGAACTTGATGTGAAATGCTTAGTCAGTTCACAGAGAATACAGAGTTTGAATAAGCTACACTAGGGAGATAATTGTGTGGGTGCCAGCCTTGAATTAAATTTCAAAGCCGAAAGGCTCAAAATGCAATGAGGAATCAATTGCCTAATTTCTATCTCATTCTTCAATGGCAATGTTCCCATTTTAGCTACAGATTAAAGCAGGGTGCGTGTTTAGAGTATTCATTTCATAGCGGGCAGGTGGAAGCCAGCCCTACAAAGTGGCAAGACCCAGAAGTCTTTGTTCCGGACGCATCTCATAAATCTTTCCATCTTGTTCAACTTTAGGTTCTTCATCTGTATGATAATCCACTGAGGAGACAGGAAAAGCGGCAACCCTAATGCACCTTCCAGTACTACACACTCTAAACATAAATCTGTTGTGTGAATATCCTCAGCTATAAGAGTATATCCACCTGACAAGTTATTTCCTTAGACTGTATCTGCTTCTCTTGTGAATCTACTATCCATTGATAAGTAGGGTAAGAGATAGACAAACTGATTGGTCGGTGGGTAGAGGAACATCCATACTGTGTATTCTTAGAAAACTTTCATGAAAGGTAGATTTTTACTTTAATCTCATGCATCCAGTGTCGACAGAGCCCCCGTTTCTGTTGTATTGCACTATGGAGACACAATCTGTAGATTTTGAAGATTCCTAATTGCTTTTGGTTTGTGTTCCATATAGATTCGCCATGGAGAAGATTTCAGTGTCAGCATTCTTGCTCCTTGTGGCCCTGTCCTACACGCTGGCCAAGGAAACCACAGTGAAACCCGGAGCTAAGAAGGACACCAAGGACTCTCGACCCAAACTGCCCCAGACCCTCTCCAGAGGTGGGAGGCAGCTGCTTGCTGGCTTCCAACTGCTGCTTACTTGGGAAAGATTTCCTAAGTCTCGGTGCTGAAGTGTCTGCCCTGACTATGTTTTGGGAGGTGTTATTTCTAGATTTATCATGGTTTACAAGTCGTTCCACTTTCTCTAGAGGTTTTTCTTTTTGTTTGGTATTCAGCATATATTTATCTCAGGTCTTTATCGTTGCTTTTCAATAGGCTTGGGCCTAAAATTATAATATAGTTTTAAATTCATTACTTTTCTAGGTTGGGGCGATCAACTCATCTGGACTCAGACGTACGAAGAAGCCTTATACAAATCCAAGACTAGGTAAGGAGGTTCAGCCTTCGCAAGGGCCTCGTGACCGCCACCTAGTGATAGCTAGCTGTGCGCGAGTCCCGCTCACTAAAACCGCCCGTCTGTTTTTCTCTTCTAGCAACAGACCGTTAATGATTATTCACCACTTGGACGAATGCCCGCACAGTCAAGGTAACTTCTTCTAAAAGTCCTTTAGAGACTCTTGGGTAGGGCCAGTTCAGATCATTCATTTCTGTAGCCTTAGAACCTAACACAAATAGGAAAGAATATTTTGGTGTAGTAGAAATAGGTTAAAATAATTTTGCTTACTTTATGTCCCGTTTTGTATTAACCGTGGGTGCATATTTTGAAGGATCAGCCCTAGGGTTCGTCCTCAACATCGTCCTCGCACCCAATACATCAGCAAATGCTGTTGCCTTCGCCTTCAAAATGCATCCCACCGCTGGCTCCAGCTGCACCCAGCGCTTAAGACACTTTTCACACGTGGTTTAATGCCCTGCCTTACTGCCTTAAAATTCTCAACAATTCCTGAACGAGGGCACCTGCGTTTTCATTTTTCCCTTCGTCTTTCCAAATCACTACCTACTGCCCCAGTGCCTCAGCTTACCCAGAGTGAGGACGGTACACACAAATGAGCTCCTCTCACGGGTGCACTCAGGAGCTTCGCATCACGAGTAAAATTAACTCCCAATTCCTAAGCTTGACCTGGCCAGATGCTCTTTCCTTTCCCAGCCCTCTCCCGTTGCTCTCCCTGCTCATCTCGCCTGGGCTCTGCGCTGTTCCACAAACCTCTGAGCTCGCTCCCCCCTCAGCGCTATTACTCTTGCAGTTCTCTGTCCGGGGTGACCTGACCCCCCGCCTCAAATTTTAGCGATTTAGCTCCAAAACAGACAACTCATTCACTTCAACGTCCCTCCTCAGAGAGCTGCCCTGACCAGGCCGTGTCTCTTCACCCTTTTACCTCATTTTGTTTTTCTTTTAAGTACATTTCTCCACCTGCACTTATTAAATATTTGTGCATCTATTTATGGTCTGTCTTGCACACAAGCATCTGAGATTTATAGAAAAAGCATGTGCTTTTTATTATTCACTCCACTTTCCCCAGAACATAAAAGTGTACATAACACTTAGTAGAAATTCAATAAATATGGGTTGGAAAAATAAGTAACTGGATGAATACATGCATGGCAAAAAGCAGAGGTAGACAATGACATAGATCTTACTTCACAGATCAGTTACTGAAAGAGCAAAGTAGAATTATTAAAACATAAAACACAACAGAAAGCCAGGCTTTTTAACCAATGTGGAGATGAATGCTTAAAGATTTTTCTTTATATTACAGCTTTAAAGAAAGTGTTTGCCGAAAACAAGGAAATCCAGAAATTGGCAGAACAATTTGTCCTTCTCAACCTAGTTGTAAGTTTATTTTTCTTTTCATTATTACTAACATTTCACCAGAAATTCATTAAGAGAAATGAATGATTCATTTTTTCCATGCATCTTAGTTATACTGAATTAACTGGGATCTCTTCCAAATATCCCATCTCACAGATTGCAAACCAGGAGATATTTCATCTTTTAATGCCCTATGTGGCCTATGCTTTTATTTAATAATTAATAACCTTCGCTTGTCTGGAAACGACCTCCCTGTGGTCAGGAGAGTCTCTGCTGCACTAACTGGAAGGCTCTTGTGTTTTGCAACTCATTTTCCTGCAGTCATCCCTGTGTATTTTCCTGTGCCATTCCCCTTAATCCCGGTCCTGCTCTCTGCGAGGGACAGCTTCCTGGCTGTGGAATCTCACCTCACCTCCAAGCTTTAACCTCCCGTGTTCCCACCCTCCTTCACCAGCCCCACCTCGCCTGTGTTCGAGCCTCCTTTCACCACATTCTCCCTACACAGCATCCATCGGAGCTCCAATTTCTTCTAAGAGTGAACAAGCATGACTCTGCCTCACCATGTCCCTCTAGGCCTCTCTCTTCCTCATCACTGGCTAGCTTCTTCCAAGAGCAACCGC